CTTCCTGACCCCTTGGTCTGTAGATTTCAGGCCTTCAGTCCCCTGTGTCTCAGACGCACTGGTCTCTGAGACCTACTCAGGGCTTCTCTCAGTCATTCCCATTTGGGTTGTGTGGCCTATCTCTCTGTGAGTATGTGTGCCTCTCTGTGTCTCTCCATGTCTCTTTTCCTCCCTGTCCTGACTCTCCCTCTTTCCTTCTGGTCTCTCTGACCCTACTTCTTCCTCCCTGTCTCTGCCCCAGGCACAGAGCAGTATCTGCTTGTAGCTGCCGGCCACCCTCATGCTCAGTCTCGAGGTACCTCAACTTCAACCTTCCAGCTGACATTTAGCCAAAGCACCTTTCCCCTCAGCTCAGCAGTTACAGGATTGGAATTTTTCAACTAAACATTCTTAGGAAACTGAAGGAGGGGTCAAAACAGCAACAATAAAACCCACAAAATCCCCCACACACAAACAGGCCTAGAAAAGCATGCGTGCTGGGCACAGGTCCCTATGGCTGTGGGGACTCAGAGCCTCATGGCCAGCACAGCTGGTGACCTGAAGGCCAGAGAGAGACACACAGCAGTGTGGGACAAGGAGAAAGACCAGCCGTGTCTCCCAGGCTGCAGAACCTCCAGGCCCAGCTTAGAGACCCATTGTTCTGTCCAAAAATCTAGGCCAAGGCCACTGGGGAGGAGAGGGGGGCCTTTCACTACTCAGCTGGAAATCTCCAGATACCAGCCCAGCCGGGTCTCCAGGGAACCAGCTGGCCCCCTTTAGCCTGGTCTCTAGCCAGCAAAGGCCTGGAAGGTGGACGATGGGCAGGCGAGCAGCAGTGGGCACTGTGGGGTGCAGGGCCCCACAGGGAGGGCAGCAGCTGCCCTAATTACTCCAGCTCTCCAGGTTCCAATCTCACTTCAAAAGGACTCCAGGGACACAGCCTTTAATAACTACCAGTAAAGAGGCAGGAAAATCGATACCTGGTAAACAGAGCCCCAGAGAGGGAAGCAGGGAGGGCTGGTCCTGACCTGGTGGGAGAAGCTCCCAGAGTCCTTTGCAGGAGAACTGGCCCATGTTGACCTCTGGAATCCTTACCCCTCCTGCCTTGGAATCTCCCCTCCCAGCGATCCAGTTTGTGGTTTGACTCCCTGGTGAGGTTGCATCTGCTCAACTCCATGCTTCTCCATCAAACCACCCCTCCTCTTTCCCACTCCTGCTGAGCCCCGATGCCTGCCAAGCAGGTTGCCCATTTCAGCTGCAGGTGCCTCCTTTATACCAGGCTCTGTGTCTGGTGCTAGAAATACAGACATGAGTCTGATCCTGTCTTGTCTTCCCAATGAGGGAGGTTAGGAACAAAATCAAATAACCTAATTTAATTACAGTGCAAGGATAGACATGCAGTAACAGCAGAACCACCTTCCTGGAGGAGGTGGGTTTAGAGAAGGTTTTTTGATGGATGAATAGGAGTTAACCTAAGAGAAAAAGGCCTGGGGAGGGTTGTGAATGTAGGCAGTAATGTATATAATAATTATCCTAGCTAACGTTCTTTGAGGGCTTACTATATGCCAAGTGCTCTAGGAAACACCTTTGACATGCTTTGTTTTATTTTGGCCCACAATAGTCCTGTGTGGTAGGTTTTAATATTCCCATTTTATAGATGAGGACACTGGAGCTGTGTGGGGCCAGGATTTACACAAGCCCGTAAGACTCCTGAGTTGTTACTCTCTACCATTGTACTTGATTCCTCCTATCCCTGACCCTCCCTGCTCAGCTCAGGATTTGGCCATGGAGCTTAAATAAGGGATACCTTCCATCCAATGGGTTACACCTTTTGGGTAACACAGTGCGGTAGTTCACCAGAAGACTAACGGCCGTACTTCTGGCAGACCAGAACTGACTGTCATCTACCACAATCCTGCATTTTGCAGATGGAGAAAACTGAGGCCCCAGGAGGAGAAGCCTAGCACACAGGAACAGAGCAGGAACTGAGATTCAGAGTTCTCTGTTTGACTAGTTCCCTCTCAGAGCCCTGATGTGTAGTGGTTAAGTGTTCCGTGTGAACCAAGAGGTCGGCAGTTCAAACCCACCAGTTGTTCTGCAAGACAAAGGACCTGGTGATCTGATTCCATACCTGAGAACAGATTAGGAAACTCTATGGGACAGTTTTACTCCTGGTGTGGCGCTGTAGGATAAGCACTGGACTGTGATCCACAAGGTCTGTGGTTCAAGCTCATCAACTGCTCCTTGGAAACCTTATACAGGGTCATTATAAGTTGGAACAACAACATAGGGTCCACTGTAGGATAAGCGCTAGACTGCTAAACCACAATGTCGGCAGTTCAAAGCCACCAGCGGCTTTTGGAAACTCTATACAGTGTTGTTGAGTCAGAACTGACTTGACAACACTAAACAACAACAACATAGGAGGGCTATAAGTTGGCATTGACTCCAAGGCACCGAACAGCAATAACAATCCCCTCTCTGGTCTGCCCTGAAATTGTCAATATGCACATACTCTGTTAAAAATGATACATCAGGCAGCTGAATGAGGCTGCCCCAGAGGCCTGAGGTGAGTTTTTATATGATTGTCTGGAATATTATAGGAGCCCAAAAGAGCTCTGGTAGCGTAGTGGTTACGAGTCAGGCTGCTAACCTCAAGGTCAGCAATTCGAAACTACCAGTCGTTCCACAAGAGAAAGATGAATTTTTCTGCTTCCACAAAGATTTACAGCCTCAGAAACCCTGTGCAGGGTTGCTATGAGTCGGAACCAACTCCACAGCACACCACTACCACTACCACCACCACCACCACCAAAAGGAAAAGAAACCAAACCCCTGCTATCAAGTTGATTCCAACTCATTCTAACTCACAGCAACCCCATAGGACAGAATAGAACTGCCTCATAGTGTTCCCAAGGCTGATACTTTTACCGAAAGAGACTGCCCCATCTTTTTACCACAGAGTAGCTGGAAGGTTCAAACTGCCAAGCCTTCATTTAGCAGGCAAGTGCTCTAGCCACCATGCCATGAGAGGATCTTATATCCTGAGACTAAGCTACTTCTCTCATATCAGCTGCTATTGCTCCATGCCTCAATTTCCCAGTCATCCATATAGTCCTTGGGATTCTAACAAAGGGCAGAAGTAAAACCCTTTGAGCCCTGGGTCGGGACACAAATGAAGGATAGTCTGACTGTTTGGTGTGAGTTGAAAGAAGACCGAACAAGAGGGGTTCCTGGAGAAGGAACACTTGTCAGGCTGCACATCATTAGGAAAAAACGTCACAGTCACCACTATTATCTATATGGGGCCACCGAGCCTTAGGGAGACTTGAGGGACTTTCCCACAGTTGAGGTGCAGTGAAGGGTGCAGCCATTTTGCAGGTGTGCCAAAGGAAGGAATCCCATGAAAGATTCTCCCACAATTCCAGTGCCCAGCCCTGAGGACTCATGCAGCCTGGACCACACTCTGTTTATCCAGAGCTTCCCATGAAACCACACTCTCAGGGAGCACCTAAAGACTTGGAAACACAGGATGCTGCTTGGGTGCAAAAGCTCATTGCTCTTGTTTTAAACTGGGACACTAATACCATGTCACCAGGGCTCCCATGAGGTTATTCTGTGGGTTATGAATGAGAGTTCAGCATGAAGCCTGCCAGGCAGCAAATGCTGTTGAAGGAACGAACCAACGGACAAAGAACTCAAATGGAAAAACAAATACAGAAATGATCTAAGGAATGCATCCATGCAGGTGAGCAAGAGGAATAAGGAGTAAGAAAAGCTGAATCCCAAATGGAGCAGTGTGTGTACAAACTCAGTCATTTAGACACTCATCAGATATCGATTAGGCAATTGCTGTAGTTGTTGTTAAGTGCTGCCGAGTTAATTCTGACCCATAGCTACCCTGTATAGGGTTTCCAAGGAGCAGCTGGTGAGTTTGAACTGCTGACCTTGCAGTTCAAACCGACTTTGCAGTCTAGTGATTTAACCCACAGTGCCACACCAGAAGCAGGGAACAAAACCAAGTTCCTGCCTTGTGTTGGTGACTTTTTAGTAAATGAGACGGTCAAGGAATAAGATACACAGGTAAAATATAAGGTATGTCAGAAAGTGAAAACAGAGCCAGGGAGAAGGGGTAAAGGGGAGTACTTTGTTTTCAATAGGACAGTTGTGAATGAAGGAATGGATGATGGAGTAAGCTAAAAAGGGAACAAGTATAAATGCAAGTATGAATGAAAAGGTTAATATCTGTCTGCAGGATTAAATGAATGGACTAATGAACACACGAATGCAGGAACAAATGAGTGAACTAATGAAAGAATTATTGAATGCATAAATGAACTGTTTTTAAGCTTTTGATAAGTGCCTTTGAGTCATTAGCCTCAAAGCAACTTTGTTTAGGGTTTCCAAGGAACAGCTGGTGGGGTTGAACTGACAGAGTTCCCAGTCCAGTGCTGATCCTACAGTGCCACACCAGGAGTCCCTAAATGAACTAGTGCAGGAATAAATGAATAAACTAATGAATGGGTAGACTGCTGAATGAAGTGTCGAATGAATGAACTGATGCAGGGAAAGACTGCATGCCGCCCACGTGTCTGCATCGTCTGGCCTCTATGGATCATCCCCACCTGTCTGAACAGCCTCACATCCCTTCTGTCCTGCTTCGGCACAGGGCGCCCTCTGTGCTTGACTAACCTGTTCCTTTGTTGATGTTCTCGCCACCCAGTTTAACACGCTCTTTGTGGAATTTCCCACCCCCCAACCTGTGTTGGGCCATACCCCTGACACCTGCTAACCTACTGCTGTCTGTGCTGATCTCCTCCCACGGGGGTCTCCCTTCCCCCTCCCCAGCCTGTTCTGACCCCTCATTTCCCTTGCCTACATTGACCCCTCTTGGATCTGTGCGGATCCCCCTCAGCTTCGTCTCCTCTCTGGCCTGTGCTGCTCCCCTGCAACCACCCTTCACCCCGCCCTATGTGAACGACCCCTGGAGCACGTGCTGACCCCTCCCTCTGTGGTCACAGGCACCATGCGGCCTGTGCGGCGCAACTTCTATGACCCGTCGTCGGCGCCAGGCAAGGGCATCGTGTGGGAGTGGGAGAACGACGGAGGCGCATGGACGGCCTATGACATGGACATCTGCATCACCATCCAGAACGCCTACGAGAAGCAGCACCCTTGGCTCGATCTCTCGTCGCTCGGCTTCTGCTACCTCATCTACTTCAATAGCATGTCGCAGATGAACCGTCAGACGCGCAGGCGGCGCCGTTTGCGCCGCCGCCTGGACCTGGCCTACCCACTCACCGTCGGCTCCATCCCCAAGTCACAGTCTTGGCCTGTGGGCACCAGCTCTGGTCAGCCCTGCTCCTGTCAGCAGTGCTTGCTGGTCAACAGCACGCGTGCCGCCTCCAATGCCATCCTGGCCTCGCAGCGCCGCAAGGCGCCTCCTGCCGCCCCGCCGCCGCTGCCTCCCGGAGGGCCTCCAGGCGCGCTAGCTGTGCGCCCTAGCGCTACCTTCGCCGGCACCGCGCTCTGGGCCGCTCCCACCACCGGCCCCACCGAGCCCTCGCCGCCCCCAGGGGCGCCTCCACGGAGTCCTAGCGCTCCCAACGGCGCGCCCACCCCTGGGCAGAACAACCTCAACCGGCCGGGGCCCCAGCGTGCGACCAGTGTGAGCTCGCGCGCCTCCATCCCTCCGGGGTAAGACAGGGCCCCCGGGGGCGAGGGTGGGGCTGCCTGCAGGGCCAGGATTAAGAATGGTATTAATAATCGTGATAGGTAATACCTGGTGTCTGTTCAGTCTTCACTTTGTGCCAGACATTAACTAAGCACCTTAACATGTTCACACTCATTTATCCGGTGACGGTAAGTACCACTGTCGTCTACAATTTACCAGTTACGGTGGCGTGGCCTACCGTCACATTGACTCCATGTATGCCAAACACAACTGTGCTCTGTAGACTTTTCAATGGCTAGTTTTCCAGACATAGCTAGCCAGGCCTTTCTTCCCAGGTATCTCTGGGTGGCCTCTCTAACCTCCAGCTTTTCAATCAGCAACAGAGCCTTTTAATGGTTGGCGCCACCATGGAAACTGAAGCAGCTGGAGGGCAAATAGCTTCTCTAGGATCTAACAGTTCATAAGTGATTATTGTCATTATTAAATGCCACCAAGTTGGTTCTGACTCACAGAGACCCTGCATAGGGTTTCTAAGAACCAGCTGGTGGGTTTGAACCACTTATCTAGTGGTTTTACAGTCCATGTGGGCTAATGTGTTAGACTGCAAAGTCGTTTGAACTTCAAGGTCGGTGGTTCAAGCTCACCAGCTGCTCCTTGGAAACCCTATACAGGGTTGCTATGGGTGAGAATCGACTAGAAGGCACTTAAAAACAACAACTTATTCTATGGAAGGAATCGGGCTGCTAACCTCAAGGTTGGTAGTTCAAAACTACCAACCGTTCCGCGGGAGAAAGATGAGGCATTCTGCTCCCATAAAGATTTACAGCCTCAGAAACCTTGTGCAGGGTCACTATGAGTCAGAACTGACTCCACGGTAGTTAACAACAACAACTTATTCTGTGGAATCCTGGTGTGGCACTGTAGGCTAACATATCAGATGACAAAGTCGTTTGGATTGCAACTTCAGTGGTTCAAGCTCACCAATTGCTCCTTGGAAACCCTATACAAGGTTGCTATGGGTCAGAATTGACTGGACGGCACTTAACAACAACTTATCCTATAGCGCCACGCCAGGAATCCATTAAAAATGGCACAGATTTGTTCATTTGTTATTTGTAACTTACTAAAATTGTAAACACTATAGAATCAGCACTGGATTTTGAACCACAAGGTCAGCCGTTCAAACTTACTAGCTGCTCCTTAGAAAAACAGGGTCACTATGAGTTGGAACTGACTCAATGGCACTTAACAACAACAAAACTCTATATCAGCATCAATGTACAATCTTCCAAACAACCTTATCATCCCCATATTAAAGAAGAGGTAACTGGAAGAGGTATGGTGCCTTTTGCAGGGACTAGAACTCAGACCTGTAGGATTGCTGAGTCTGGGCCTTGTGATCTTAGAATTTTTAGAGGGCTTCTGAGTCAGTGTCCCAGTCCATGTTCACCATTTTGGGGGCTAGCTGGCATTGACCATTGTTGTTGTTGTTGTTAAGTGCCGTTGAGTCGGTTCCGACCCATAGCGACCCTGTACAGGGTTTCCAAGGGTGTAAATCTTTACGGGAGTAGAAAGCCTCATCTTTCTCCCGCGGAGCGGCATTGACTATTAGCCATGGTATTTCCCTCCTAAAATGCCATCAACAAAAAAACAAAAAAAAACCCAGAAAATGATAACCTTTGCGTCAGTTCCAACCAGTAACCCTATGGGGACAGAGTACTGCCTCAGAGGACTTTCAGATTGCTGCATATTTCACCTGCTGAGTAGCTGGTGGATTAGAGTTTACCTCTCAGCTAGTAACTGAGTACTTAGCCACTGTACCACCAGAGCTCCTGGTGTCACCATTAACCAAAACCAAACCACTGCCATCGAGTTGATTCCCACTCATAGCGACCCTGTAAGACACAGTAGAAATGCTCCATTGGGTTTTTTAGACTATAAATCTTTTTGGAAGCAGATTGCTTCGTCTTTCTGACCACTGAGGAGCTGTTAGTTAGTAGTAGTTAACAGCCCAATGCTTAACCCATGGTGCCACCAGGTCTGCTATGTCACCATTACTTGGATTAATACTACTGTTTAAACTGGGCTCCAGGGACTCCATAGTGGGGCATGTTGGATCAATAGACAAGGGCAGGCAATCAAGCCAGTCTCTAGGCTCTTGTTTTAACAGAGTAGTCCTTTGGGGAATCTCTTTTACCAATTGGCATTCTCATCAGGATTTCACAGGAAAAGAAACCCCACCCATACCAACTGTGAAAACTCCTGGGTTCAGGCATTCTAGGTACTAGTGAGCCCTGGAACCTGACTTGGGTCAATGTTAGCAGAAGACCAGGTCATGAGGGCATGGGAAAGAGGGAGAAGCAAAGACCTAGAGCTTGGGACAGACCCAAAGGGAAAAGACTAGGCGGACTTGGGCATGGTGCCAAGAGGTGAAAGAGCCAAAGGAGGGCAACTTGACTGAGATCATCATGGTGTGGCCAGGGGGCCTGATCAGGATGACCTGAGATCAATGAGGGTCAGGTCTGTATGTACTTTCTGAAGCTATCATATCCAGGTGTGTCCTTGCCTCAAGTGAAATGGATGAAACTGATGAACAGAGGTGTATCAGAGTTCTGGCAGGGATGACCGGTGTCGTGGGTACTACTTGAAGAGGATCTACTCACCATTTTGATTTCCACTACCAGCTATGAGAGATCATTCAGCAAATTAAAACAAATCCTTTCATGTTTGAGAGCCTCCATGGGTCAAGGCAAGGAGCTCTGGTGGCATAGTGGATTACAAGCTGGGCTGCTAACTGAAAGGAGAAAGATGAGGCCTTCTGCTTCCATAATGATTTCCAGCCTCGGAAACTCTATGCAGAACCACTATAAATCTGACCCAACTTGATGGCACACCATAACTGGGGGTCAAGGCAGACTGGATCTTGCTTTGCTACGTGTAGAAAGAGAAGAAACTGAGAAAATACACATATACATCAGAAACGACTCTATCCATGAAAACAAAAAAGTTGCAGTTGTAATTTTCATATAGTGCCGTAATGTAAGTAAAAAATTAATGAGCTTGACTTATCTTTTTGAGTTGATTTGGTAAACTTATCTAAAAGATGCATGTTAGTTAGATGGTTAGAAGGAGCACAATTTCAGTGCTTGCCACAGGCGCTATTTTCTGTAGTTTCTCACTGCCTAGGTTTCTATCTCCTTCCTCTCTGCCACCTCCGAGCTATGTGGTCTGGAGCCAGTCATTTCCCTTCATTGAACCTCAGTCTCTTTATCTGTAAAATGGGGGCAGAAAGAGTGCTGTGAGGGAGGGCTGAGAGAGCTGTGATTTTCCACCACCTGCCTGCCTCATGCTTCCCTTCTCCTCCAGATAGTCCCTCTCTGGGGGGAGGGGACTGTGAGCACAGGTGTCTGGAGTGTGTCATTGTGGCTCTTCATAGAAGGTGGTCAGGCCTAGTCCCTAAAAGTGGGGGCTGAGGACCCCAAGCTGGAGTGGATGTGGGAAGGGCCAACACCAGGGCAGTTCCAGGGACCTCCACAGTGGGAATTTGAGAGCCTCCTCTCTGGGGCAGTATGTTTTCAAACTTCAAGTTGTGACCTAGTGGTAGATTATAAAAGGAGTCCTAGTGGTGTAGTGGTTAAGTGCTCCACTGCTAACCAAAAGATCAGTGGTTCAAATCTACTAGTTGAATCAAATCTACTATTACTTCAAGGGAGAAAGATGTGGCTATCTGCTTCGAGAAAGAGAGGTAGTGGTGTTGGTGGTTATGTGCTGTGGAATCAGTTCCAACTCATAGCGTCCCTGTATAGAGTTTCCAAGGCTGTAAATCTTTATGGGAGCAGAAAGCCTTGTCATTCTTTGTCATTCTTCTGATGAATGGCTGATGAATTCGAATTGTTGACTTTGAGGTTAGCAGCCCAATGCACAACCCACCACATCACCAGGGCTCCTTCCATAGAGATTATTGCTGTTGTTGTGTGCCACAGAGTCGATTCCGACTCCTAACGACCTTGTGTAGGGTTTCTGAGGCTTCAACCGCTGACCCTGTTGTAGCAGTCCAGCATCTATCCTACCCCAACATAGAAGATAAAAATTTACCAGTGAACTACCCCCTCACACACACACCAGAGTCTCTAGTTCTGGACTCCTCCTGGTGTGGCCCTTAAGCACCAGACTGCTAACGGCAAGGTCAGTGGTTCAAACCCACCAGCCACTCTTTGGAAACACTATACAGGGTCACTATGAATCAGAACCCACTCCTCAATGCTTAACAACACCAATAACAACATGTTCAGGGAAGGACTGGCAAGTGGGGAGCCAATGAGTATGGTAGGGGGAAGGCAGGCAGGGACATTGCGAGCTCATAGGAGTAGAGGTGGGAATGGACTCAGCAGGTTTTAGAGACCATCAGGAATGGATATTTCCTGATAGAATAATAGAGACTGACAACTTTCCTCATGTCATGGTACAGGGACAGATTGTGGGGGCTCCTCCACGGAGCCTAGGCTAGACGCTGATAGCAACAGGGAGCTATAAGAGTATGCTTGAGCTCAGAAGGACTATATTGGGAGAAGAAAGATTTCTCCTTTGTAGTGCTGATCATTAAACATATCCTCTAATCTGCCAGGAGCCCTGGTGTGGATAAGCACGGACTGATAACTTCAAGGTTGGCAGTTCAAACCGACTAGCTGCTCTCAGAAATCCTTTACAGGGTCACTATGAGTCGTAACCAACTCAAGGGTACATAAAAACAAATCTGCCAGAATTATGGTCCCCCCTCCAGCCACACATATCCCCGTATCTACCCCCTTCCTCCCTCCTGGGTACTGTTCATCACCCTGCAGGAGCCCAGACACCCCCTCACTGGTCCTTGGCCATGGAGACCCTGCCCAGTTTCGCCCCAGCCCCTCTGAGTTTGCATCAAGGCCCCCTAATCTTCATCTTTAAAAAATCCCTGCTAAAAATACCCCTGGCTCAGCATGGAGGTGTGCCAGGACCCAAAGAGTCTGTGGCTGGGGGATGGGGG